GCCAGCCATGGTGGCTCCTCAAACCTACTTTGCTGAACCCCACTTCTGTTCACACTGTGCTAACATCCAGACCCCCCTCCCCTTCTCCTTTTAAACTTCCCCCCATTCTTTAAGGCCCACTTCAAGTTCTACCTCTCTCCAAGCCAGCCCACAACAACCTTGCCCATCTGTGAACTCTTTGCTCTTACCAGCTAAGCCATTCAGTTGTCATTAAATGAAATTTGAGGGTTCTTTTTTAAAATGTGTTTATTAGTTAAGGACTCTTTGGTTAACAAGGTACAGAAGTTATCTCTATCTTAAGACATTAAGTCAGTTAATTAGAAGGGTACTAAGCGATCCCTTCAGTGCCCAAGAATAGAGTGATATACATCACTATGTAATTAGAGTGTCAAACACAACTAGCATTCTCTTATCTCTCCTTATCTCTATGGCCTGCTTTATTCTTTTTTCTTGCTACACATTATCTCAATATTTCTAAAACCATATGGCAGTAAACCTGACTGCTGACAGCTCCCAAGTTTTATATGTAATAGATAAAAACTCTTGAGAAAGGCTACATCCAGAGTGTTTTAAAATCCCTGTGGAAGGGATTGAATAAGCTAGCTTAAGTCAGGTGCCCATCCTTAGACAGTCAACATTAGCCAGGATCATAGGGTCACATTTTAGGAATATGACAGTTCCCATTGCAACCAGGTAGAATGGTGAAGGGGAGACAGGTAATTTCTGGAAATGGAGTAATGAAGGGACACAATAATTGTCGACTATGTTCTGCCCTTTGATGGCTGAGGACATGCAGACACTATTTTCCATACATCCAAATTTCTTTCTCCTCATATGGTTCAATTATCACCCCTAAATTTGTAAATGCACTTGTCTTAATTTGAAAAAACTCAATATCATGATCAGATATTGCATCTGTAGACAATGACATGGAGCCTTTGTCTTTCAAATTCAAGTTCTTTTGTTTATCCAGTCTTGTCTCTACTTTGGTCCCAAAGATTTCCAAACATGGATCATAATTTCACTTAGAAGAAAGGAAGATACTATGCATTGAAAACAATCTGAAGCATAGAATGCACCTTAAGTGGTGGTGGGGTACTTGTGAGTTGATTTTTTACTTACAGTGACCCCATGTGACAAAATTGAACTGCCCTGTAGGGTTTTCATGGCAGTAATCTTTATGGAACAGATCTTTCTCCTGAGCCACTGGGTAGGTTTGAACCACCAACCTTTTGGTTAGCAGTCAACTGTTTAATCATTGTGCTACCAGGGCTCCTTCCTTAAGTGATAACCAACCAAACTCACTGCCATTGAGTCGGATCCACTCATAACAACCTCTCTTTGAGTTTCCGAGGTGGTAACACTATGAAAGTAGATTGCCCAACCTTCCTTCTGAGTAGTGGCTGGTGGGTTTGAACTGCCAGCCTTCTGGTTAGCAGATGCCTTAGGCACTACACCACCAGAGCTCCCTCATTAAGTGATAGGGCCAGTTAATTTAATGAGTGTCTGTGTGTTTACTAAATTCTTTGGTAGTGCATTAAGTTCTTTGGCCTGGCAATATGGCTGCCTTCAGGCCTGCTTGCAGGGAGAATTGCCTTTGCCCAGGATATCTTAGGGCTTATATTGAGAAAACACTGAGAATGAGTTCCCTATAGGAGGTTGAAAGGTCAACTTTATCTCTTTGTCTATTCCTATTAGTGCTGGCACCGGTAGAAGGTAAATTTAGTGAAGGCAAGGACCTTGCTTTTGTTCTCAGCCATATCCCTGTGACCTACAACAATAACAGGGACATAGTAGATACTCAAAAAATTTTTGTGGAATGACCAGCACTCAGTCCTTATACCCTTGTTGCCATGTTTGGGGTTTTCATGGTGATAGTACTCCTTTAAAACCTTAGCTGGCTATCAATTTCTTCTTTGGGGACACTGTTTACTGATAGGTTTTCCAGTGCCAGAAATCTTGTCAAGTCATACTCTTTGAATACCTAAGTCTGTTAAAGGGGACTGCCAGGGCTAGAGGATTTACCGTGGCTTGGCACAGATCTCTGGGAGCTGAGGCAAGGAGGCTGGGAGCTCTAAAATGTACCCAACCCCCTCAATAGACATGCCTACAATACTTAAGGTGGAGACATAGTCACATCAGTGCTGTGGAATGGCCCTGGGATTGGATCTCTCTGATTTTTCTGGCTTCTCTTAAATATCTTATTCCAATAGCCAGGGAACCACAATTTCTAAAATACAAGTTAGCTCAAGAAACAGCATGGATTATGGCTGCCAGGGCAGCTGTAAGATTTTCAATTCTTCAACTCATTGGCTTCAGACAGAAAAAGTTTCTTTGAACAAGTTTATCAACATGTCCTGTTTTTTTTATCAGTTTTTAAGACAGCTATGTGAAGTTAGAGTGTGTCTTTTTCTCATAACTTACTGGATAATAATACTCAGTTATTAGTTGTTTAAATCAAAGAACAGCCAAATGTGCTTAGTTTCCTGACAGTTTTGCCACTAAGTATCATACTTGCTTTCAGAGACAGATGGCTTAAGTTTAAAAGATGGCAAGTGATACTACACAGGAACTGCCAGTGTCCCATCCCAGGATGGGGTATCGCCATGGCCTATACCTTACTTTGTCTCAGCCGATTCCATACTTTGGGATCTGAGTTTGCAAATATCCACTCTCACAATTCATTTCAGGGCTAATTAAGACACTTTGGTTGGATGTAACAAAACCAATTCTAGCAAGTTAAGCAGTAAGAGATCTATTTACTGGCAGGACAGTTGAGTTTCTCAGAATTCAAGGACAGGAATGCAGTTGGTTTTCAGGAATGACCTGCAACCAGGATTTGAACATGAGGAGTGTTTCCATCTTTTGTTTCTCTTCCAGATGTGCTTGCTTCACTTCTGTCTGCAGACCATCTTCCTCTGCTTCTCCAGTGCATCTGAGTTGTATAGATTATAGGGCCAGCCTCCACGTTACAAGTCCATTCTTCCAGTTTCTCAGATCAAAAACCTGGCGCCCCCATGATTGCTCTTTCTCTCTCAAGTTGGGGCCACTAGGAAATCCTGTTGGTTCTACTTTGAACATATGTCCATAACTTAACCACTTCTCACCACCCTCACTGCCACCACCCAGGTACAAGCAATCCTCACCTCTTGGTCAGTTTACTGAAATAACATAATTGGTCTTTCTGCTTCTTTCTTGACCCCCTGTGGCCTATTCTCAATACAGCAGTCAAAATGGTTCTGTCACTGCTCTAAACTCTCAAATTGGTTCTCTTTTTACAGAGTAAACCTCAAAGGCCTCATATGGCCTACATGATCACGCCTATACCCCATCATCTCTATGCCTTTGTGTACTCACCCCTTGTTCACTCCTCACTGGCCACCTTGTTCTTCAGTTCACCAGTCTCACTCTGCTCTCAGGGCCTTTGTACTTGCTTTACCTTGCATGTTCCTCCCCCAGATACCTGCTTGATTCATTCCCTTACTTCTTTGGATCCTCATGAGTCACTCCAATGTGTCCTTCCTTGGTTAAGCCCTAGCCACCCTCACTACACTGATATTTCCTATCCCGCTTCCCTTCTGAATATTTTTCTTCACAGATACATCACTATTGATACCCTGTACCAAGTTTTATGTTACATGTTTTCACACATGCACGCACACACTTAATCCCTCTCATAGCCCATCAGCTTCCCTTGCCACAGCTCCTCCTAAACTCCTCCTTCCCAATGCCCCCAAAATTCCTCATTTATTACCTGTCTCCTCTGCAATGTAAGTCCCTTGAGCACTGGGATTTTACTCTGTTCTTCTCTTCACTACTGTATCTCCAGGGTTAAAGAAGTGCCTGTCACTCAGCATTGTTTTTTTTTTTTTCCCTTGAATGGATTAATAAAACCATTAATAAAAACTCAGTTCTCTTTTTCTTCCCCTTTTCTTTCCTTCCCCCAAATAAAATACCTGCAAATAAGAAAGAATTGCTAGTGGCCTGTGGAAACAGTGAGGCACAGAGGAGAGGGGAGGAGGGGGGTCCTAACACAGCTTGAAGGGGCCTGAGCTAGGAGAGGCTTCTCAGAGCTCAGACCAGCCTCCATTTTGTAGCATCAGGAGAATTGTTCCTAACTCTGCCCCTTGGGGGTCAAACCCAGATCCTCCTCAGAAGTAGAAATAATAATTATTATTATAGCTTCCATTTTCTGAGCGCTACCCTGGTGTTTTCCATATATGACAATTATAAGTAAGTGCAAAGATTTAGTGTAGTTTAGTCTATCTGTTGAGTCATATGAAGATCTGAAAACGATTTCTGAAAGTAACTTGAGAACCACTCAAGTATGTTATTGTAGGTCTTGGACCCTGGGATGGGAATTCATAGCAACTCTCTAAAATCCCTCTTTTGTGAATGATGACATTTTGGAGATCGTGGCAATGGTTGCAAAACACTGTGAATGTAATCAGTGCCCTTGAATTGTACACTTAAAAGTGGTTTGAATGGCAACATGTTTTACCACACACACACAAATTTAATCCCTCTTTCATATCCCATCAGCTTCCCTTGCCACAGCTCCTCCTAACCTCCTCCCTCCAAAATGCCCCCAAAATTCCTCTCCTGGAGCCTCATTTGTGCCCCTTATCCTTCTCTCTCATCCCCTCTTTCTTCTTCAATCCCTAAAGTCCCCAAAGTCTAAGCAGAGAAAGAAAAATGCACTAATGCTTTAGTAATGTTTTGTCCCATCACATTCATAGTTTCTCATCCCTTGAGGTAGGTGGTGTTCTCAACTATAGAAAAGGAAACAGTTCAGGGAGGTTGTGACTTGCCAGAATCTCAAAGCCAGTAGGTGGCCCAGGCTGGTCTCCCCTCAGAACCCGCATGCTCTGTCCACTCTGCCACGGAGGGCTGGAGTCCAGGAGATGACACGACTTCTTCCCCCCTCACTCAGCCTGAACAGCCACCGCCTCTGAACAGCAAGCAGCCGGAGACCCACCAGCTCTCTGTGGTGCTGCAGAATGTCCAACCAGGATCTGAAGTAAGCTGGGGCTAGGACAGCCTGTCCTCTCGGCCACATTTTGGGGTTGCTGTGGCAACAGCACATCACTCAGCTTCTCCCAGATTCCTGAAGTACTAGCTGAGTTCTGGGGAGGGGCAAGCAAGGCCCACTTTCTCCAAATGGGAAAATACACATATTTATAACTGTTGGGAATGCGGCTTTTTAGATTGTAAGTTTTAAGTCTTTTTGTGTATGTGTGTCACAACGTTTCTTACTTGCTTATCAAGGTTCATGTGTGGGAAACCTATTACCTACTTTTATCACTTCCAGATAATCTACCTCACGGTTTGCCTCCAGCCTGAAAGATAAAATTTTCTAGGTTCCTTAGAGTCTTAGGAAGCTTTACTTTCTATTTTCAGTCCTCTAAAAAATGCTATACTTCACCAGGATGGAGGAGCTGGCATTATCAAAAGTGTTTTATTTCTTCAGTTTTGACTAGAATTAAGTATCTTTGTTACGCTGACTAGAAGTCCTGAATGTGAGAAATACCTGTTCTTGTATTAACAATAAAAGCTGTCCTTTATTGGAGTACATTAGCATATTTAATCTCCCTTGAGGCTAATTTTACAGAAGAGAAAGGAAGGATCAGAGAAGTGGCACAGCCAGGATTCAAACTCAATTCTGGCTGACCTTAAGCCTGAAGTAAGAATTACAGTTTGTTTGAAAACCCTGCCACACAGGTTTGCAAGGGTGTGATAAATCCAGAGAGGTCTTTAGTGAAGAGACTGTTCCAGGCCCAATCTGAAGACTCCCCATGCCCTGGTGGAATCCCAGGGGCCAGACTTCTTGGAATCCCTTGTAGCATCTTGGCTGTATGAGCACTTCCCTATCAGACTGGGGCAAGATGCTTCAGACCTGATGAGTGCAGTTCTAGAGCAGGTGGGCCAGGCACTTCAGCTCTCTGCCCTCAGCCCATGTCTGAACTGGAGGCTGGGGAAGGGAAGTGGGCTGGGGCTGCTGGGGAGAGAGGTCTCTGGTCACCTGTGGGACCTGAGGTCCTGCGCACCACCATTTCCACTCTTTCTCAGCTCTGTTCCTGCTCCTTTACCAGAACCCAGCCTGTCCTCCCTCTTTGGCCCTTCCCATACCCCCAGTTCTGTGCAACTCTGTGCCCTGCTCTGTACCTCCCTCACTTCCTCCCTTGGCCTCAGTGTCACAGCAAAGCTCATCAATGGAGGCGTGGCAGGGCTCGTGGGGGTGACCTGCGTGTTCCCCATCGACCTGGCCAAGACTCGACTGCAAAACCAGCACGGAAATGATATCTACAAAGGAATGTAGGTATTGGTGGGGATAGTGGGTCACCAGGGGGAGCCCAGAAAATGATATGGGGCCTCACTTTTTCCACAGTTTCTTTAGTAGGTGTGTGAATGAAGAGTGTGGGGGTTGGGGAGACAGTCAACTAAGGAGTGCCTAACAGCTTTACGGGTGAGGAGGAGGCTGTTGGAGCGGTCTCCTGTTCACCACTAAGTTATTTTTCCATAGGATTGATTGCCTGATGAAGACGGCCCGAGTGGAGGGCTTCTTGGGCATGTACCGAGGTAGGCTTATCAGGCATCCCTGGGGAGGCCTGCACGTAGGGTGCAGGGGTGTCAGCCTTTGTGAGGTTATAAAATGTTGGGAATCTGTGTTTCTCTATTCAAAGGACTCCAGGAATGAGACCTAGGGCTGCTAGGCCATCCTAGAGTACGGTTGCTCTTCACTAGCCTCGTGCTCTTTGGTGGAGATAGAGGTAGTTATGGTTCCTGGTGAGGGTTCAGTGGGCACCAGGAACCACACTGTGGTCACGCTGGCAGAGCCCAGAGCCCCAAGTTCCAATCCCAGCACCACCACTGCCTCTCCAAGTGATGATAAAAGCAAGTGAGCCCCAAACTGTCTTCCTCTTCCTTCTTCCCTCTTGGCTGCCTTCTCCCTCCTCTGCTTTTCCAGGCCTACAGGGCATCCAGCTACTGATAGCAGGAGATGGGGGAGATGTTGAAAGGGACAGACAATGGAAAGGGCTTTGAGTTCCTTGGGAGGATTTATGAGATGGTTCTTCCCTGACACAGTCCAGTGTCCCCACCCAGGGCAGCACGGCCATGATTATGCTTGGAAACCTCCAGGAAGCACAGAGCTGCCAGTGGGGCTGGGCTACTGCAGCAGAGTAATTGAGACACCATCCTTGTCCTCTAGGGGCTTATTATTGGCCTTAGGATTGGGACTGCTCGTTTACCTTGGAAGGTGGACCATACCAGCAAGGACAAAAATAAAATGACTTCCTGGCAGCTGGACTAATGAGCCCATAAAGAAAATAAATACATATAAAAATGGAGGAAAATGTGGTCATGGAGGGGGTGAGGCAGGGATAAAAAGAAAATTTATGTTTCAATAAAGTAGGCCAGAGGTGCTGTCTTTGACCCCCAGAGACTCCTTTGCCCTGGAGGTTTACCTGCTAGGGCTGAGTGCAGGCCACCTATGAGAGGGGCACACTCAGAGCTGTTATTCCTGAGAGTCTTTCTCATTTTTCACTAACAGGGGCAGCAGTGAACCTAACCTTGGTCACTCCGGAGAAGGCCATCAAGCTAGCAGCCAATGACTTCTTCCGGCAGTTGCTCATGGAAGATGGGTATGGGCCAGGTCGGGGCTGGGACAGAGCTCCTTCACTGCATGGCTATGATTTCTAGGAGAAGGCAAGGGGAGGCTGACAACTCTGCCTCAATTTACCTGTGCGCATGTCTATAAATATGTGCACACATTTGTCTGAAGGTTAGTGTGTTTTGGCAGGTGAGAAGGGGAGAAAAACAGTGTAATTTGAAGTTTCTTTCTTTTTCTTTCTCTCCTTCTCCCTTTCTATATAAACTCATCGCCATTGAGTTGACAACCCTACAGACAGCGTAGAACTGCTCCATAGGATTCCAAGGGTGTAAATCTTTATCAATACAGGCTGCCATGTCTTTCTCCCACGGAACAGTTGGTGGATTCAAACTGCTGACCTTTTGGGTAGCGGCCAAGCAGTTTAATCACTGTGCCACCAGGGCTCCTACTATATAGACAGATATATATGGGGGCAGGGGGAGATAGAGAGGTAGATAAAGGTATAAGTATATAAAGAATATATGGAACCAATAGAATATATATATATATATTGTTGTTGTTGTTATTTGCCGTTGAGTCAGCCCCGACTCATAGCGACCCCTCCTTGGGTTTCCGAGGCAGTATCACTACGGAAGTAGGATTGCCCAACCTTCCTTCCGAGGAGTGGCT